TCCGAACAAGCGATTAACCAATTGGATCCCGAAGATGTATTTACTGCAGTTGTTTTCACTCACTTTTGTGCGTGCAGGATGCGAAAAGTGGAGCTGTCGGCGTTTCGGCTTTGGGACAAAGAGGATGCATAAAATATTGGGTTGGACTGTCCGTTTCACCAAATTTAACCATCTTGGAGCTTTTCAAAGTCATGCGCCCGTTCTGCTGGGAACTAAGTGGGGAACTCGGTAGAGGGGTTATTCTGCGGTCTTCAAATGTCTGAACGGTGGCCACAGAGAAGAGGGAGTGGGTTTATTCTCTGTTGCCCCGGAGGATTGCCCCACCGTGAGCAGGTTAAAAGTGCCAGGAATTAGGTTCCAGTTAGAGATCAGGTGGAACATCCTGACTGCATGAGCTGTCAACCAGTGGAACAGGCTGCCTCATGGAGCGATGAGTTCTCCTCCCCAGGAGATCTCCCAAGAGAGGTTGGACGGTCTCTGCTGGAGATGCTTTAGCAGATTCTGCATTGAAGGGGTTGGAGAGGATGGCCACTAAGATACCTTCAAACTCTATGACTCTACATTGGTGGGGTTGATCCCCTAACAGGCCCAGTGGGGCATTCTGTATCTGCTGTAGGTTCTGGGTGGTTTCCAAGGGCAGCTCCCATACTGCACTGCAGTAGTCCAATTGGATAGCCAATTGGTCAAGTGATCAAGGTATCCTGGTCCAGGAGGTAGGGTTGTAACTGGTGCACTAGCCAAAAGCCAAGAATCCTAAAAGCCCCCAAGCCATGAACCTCCTCCTTTGGGGGCAGCACGACCCCATCCAGAGTAAGCACTAGGAGTGATATTATCCGAGGCTTATGGGTGACCCCTAACTCTGTCTTGGTAGGATGAAATCTGTCTTGGTTTGCCCGTCACAGCCTCCAGACACCAGTCCAGAACCTTCTCAGCATCTCCAGCTTGGCCCAGGATGGTGGTGTCTTGTTGAGGTTCATCAGCCTCCTGATGATACCTTACCTCAGACAAATGAATGACTTCTCCCAACCCATATTAGAATACCTGGTGTGTTGGGCCTGTTTGAACCCAGTAGTTGTGCTTTATAGAACCTGGCTGATGGCTTAAATCAACTGATTCCAGTCAACCGGGGTGTGTTCAACTCTGGTTAAACGTGGTTTGGTATAATCTGCAAATCACAGTAACACCCCATGACATCCCTCGTCCCCTTCCCCAGCCCCAGCCCCATGGACACCCATGGAAAGAGGCATGGAGAAGCAGGAAGCAGGAACAATGGAATGCAAAGCAGAGTCTGAGACAATTACTATCCCTTTACTACAGTAGCAGTTGTAGTAAGGCTGTAGTAAAACACAAGCACGGTAAGGCAACGAGCCTGTAATGTGTGCATTTTTGACAGGACTAAATATTTAAAACACTGGGTTATTTGTTCATTCTGTTTGTTTTTCATATTCAGCTAATAAAGGCTTTTTTTAAAGAAAAACCTAGAAATACCGTGGAACGGATGGTAGATAATTAGAGGTCCCCCAGCAGGCAGGAAGACGTGTTTAATCCTTTCCTCCCTACTGAAGTATAATGAAATTTGTGCGTGCAAAGTCGTGTTGTGCATAGGGGGGAACTTTCTCTCTAATTGGTGCGCGGAAATGCAGCTTTTGTGAAGCAGGTTCCTGAAACGCTACTGCATGTGACATCTCTCTAGACAAGATTTGCCCCTCGAGAAAGCGGGGAAGAAAAAAATCCTGCCCTCTCACCCATCATGCCCACCCCCTGGCCTAGAAGTCACCCCTCTTCCTCTCCCTCCCCTCCTCCCCTTTCACCCCATCTCTGCTGTTTCTGGGTCATCCTGTTGCAAGGGGGGAAAAAAAGCTTATTAACGTGAAAAATGAAATGAGATTTTCGCTAAGCAGATTGCTGATTGACATAAAAACATGGCCTTCTGTCTGTCTCTCTTGACTCCCTTCCCCAGAAAACATCTGCCAAGACTTTATCCCTTGGCTTTGAGTTTCTGGCACGTCCAGAAAGGTCCTCTTTTTCACACCTCCCTCACTAATCTGTTTAGCTGAGCCAGACCCTCCGTGTTGTGCCAAAATGCCCTGGTCCCAAAGAACAAGCCTCAAGACATTTCAGGTAGCCCAGCTTCTAATCAATGAAGGGGATGGCTGCTTAGTTGCTCCTTTGCCCAGATACGGAGGGCTAAGGGAATACCACCCCTCTCACACCCATAAGTCAGGGCTGGGCAGTGCCAAGCTTGCAGAAACATAGATTTCTTCCCAGGAACCTCCTTTGGGGTCTTCCATGTTCCATGCTCCTCCTGACATTTGTGAAAACGTATTTTTTTTAATGAAATAGGAGCATCCTGGGTGTGTGAGAATGGTGCCTGCAGGTTCTCACGGGCGGAATACAAGCAACAGTGTGTGGACTTGCAAGCTGGACTCTGGATTAGAGATCCTAGCTTGCATAAAATAGAGTGAGTGTGCTGAGCGTGACGCTGGGTTTTGTCATGTACTGGAATGTAGGGCTGGCCCTGGGAAGGATATAAAAGAGGGGGGAAGGAATGAGATATGAAGGAGGGACTTGAGAAGAGATTGCACGGACTAGAGGTTGAAGGAAGGGTGAGAAAGAAACTCAGCATAACTTTGCCTTGATTGTGTTTAGTATAAGAGAGACAGAGAGAAATTCTGCAGGCTTTGGGGATTCTGTTATTGTTCCCTACAACAGTGTTTCTCAACCTTGGCAGCTTGGAGATGGGGGGACTTCAACTCCCAGAATTCCCCAGCCAGCATGCTGGCTGGGGA